CTTTCATTTCTAGAGATGTTGTATTTCATGAAGAGTTCTTTCCATTTGCTTCTATTAAGTCTAATTCTTCTTCTGAGATTTCTTTACCCACTGCTCCAGCTTCTGCAAGTCATCAGACTGCTGAACCTTTACCTTTTGCTATCAGACCTCACACTAAAGCTTCCAAAGAGGCTACTGAATCATCAAGTGACTTCTATTCTTCCCCCATTTCTTCAAATCATCCTAGTACACCTATTGCCTCTATCTCTCCTTCTAGTTTTTCTCCAGATTCTCCAGTAACATCTAGTCAACCACATACATATGCACCAGTTTTTCCTTCTTTAGATTCTGATTCTATGATGGATGTTCTTATTAGGAAGTCTACCAGACCACACACAACTCCATCTTATCTCAAGGATTTCATCTGTAATGCACTCCAACTCACAGATGTTAGCAACTCTTGCTTTCTCACACCAGTTACGCCTACTTGTATATCTTTCAGTGGACTATCTTCTACCAATCAACATATGCTAAACACATTGTCCAATATACAAGAACCTAAGGACTATTTACAGGCAACACATCACCCAGGGTGGCAAGAAGTAATGAATAAAGAGATTGAGGCACTTGAACTTAATAAGACTTGGGAAGTGGTTGAATTACCACCCGGGAGGAAAGCTTTACCATGAAAATGGGTGTATAAGGTTAAACACCATTCAGATGGGAGTGTGGAAAGACTAAAGGCAAGATTGGTCATTAGAAGAGACATACAAAAAGAGGGAATAGACTTCAATGAAACTTTTTCACCTGTGGTGAAGATGACCACAATTAGATGCATACTAGCCACTGCTGTAAAGAAAGGTTGGGGTCTATACCAGCTAGATGTGAATAACGCTTTCCTACATGGAGATCTAAATGAAGAAGTGTACATGAAATTCCCACCCGGGGTTGTACCTACTTCACCTACTCATGCATGCAAGTTAAAGAAATCAATTTATAGGCTACGACAAGCATCTCGTCAGTGGTATGCTAAACTTACAACTGCTTTGAATTTTAAGGGATTCACTCACTCATTCAACGACTATTCCCTGTTTTTTAAAAGGTCAGCTTCTTCCATTTCTATAATGGCTATCTACGTGGATGATATACTCTTGATAGGAAATGACAACACAGAACTACATGCTTTGAAAGAATTTCTCAATCAAGAATTCAAAATAAAAGATCTCGGGGACTTACATTTTTTTCTAGGCATGGAAGTTGCCCGAGAAACAGATGGACTCCTCCTTTCTCAGCGCAAATTCACTTTAGACCTTCTCCAAGAATTTGACTCTCTCCATTTGTCACATGTTTCTTCTCCACTCGATTCATCTACTCGTTTGTCTACTCACACAGGGGAACCAGTGCAGGATCCCACCTTGTATCGTCATCTTCTTGGCAAACTTAACTATCTCACTCACACCCGACCAGACTTATCCTTCACTGTCCAGCACCTCAGTCAGTACATGCAGGACCCTCGACAACCACACCTAGATGCAGCACTCCGTGTGCTTCGCTATCTGCTCAAAGATCCTAGGCTTGGGCTTTTTATGTCTGCTTCCTCCTCCTTCAAGCTCCTAGCCTTTTGTGACTCTGATTGGGCCACCTGCCCGGACTCGAGGAGGTCGGTCAGTGGGTTTTACATTTCCCTTGGTACTTCTCTGATCTCTTGGAAATCCAAGAAGCAAACTTCCATCTCGCTCAGTTCAGCCGAAGCAGAATACAGATCTATGCGGCGAGTGGTTGCAGAGCTCACATGGTTGGTTCATCTTTTTGAGGATTTGTCAATTCCTATTTCTCTTCCAGTCCCTCTTCACTTCGATATCCAAGAAGCAATTCATATAGCAAAAAATNTTGTATTTCTTTTATGTGCAACTTTCCTAGCTAATAGGACATTGCCACTTGGCAATATAGTATGCTGGCCTAAAATATTCCTTCTGTATATAAAGTTGGGCTTGTACACTTAATACAACACAATAATTTGAATATACAAAAGCAGAAATCTTCAATTCATTCTCTCATTTTTTCAATATATGCCTTTAGAAAATTGTGATATATTAGTAATGAACATCTTATATACAAAATAGATTTTGGTTGAATTCAAAAGTATACCCCCGACCTTCAAATCCTTGATCCGCCTCTGGTACACAGACCTCACTCCTACGCTGTGCAGGTAGAAAGACTATTTCCGATAGACCCTCAGCTTCAAGCAAGCATGCATTATATACAATGATAGCAAAAAACCTAACAGATTTTGGTTGAATCCAAAAGTGCACATCCGACCTTCAAATCTCATGTCCGCCTCTGATTGAGGAGCTTGACACGCATGATAAAGAGTCGTAAAGTATTATAACTAATGACATTAATGTCAATACAACAAATAATAATACATACTACCTTACAATTACACTAATACTCATGACAAGAGTCTGGTCCTAATTAATCAAAACAACCACTTACTATTAAAGTACTAATCTTAATTATAACATCAAGTTATCAACTTAACTCTACTAAAGAACAAATACCAGCTCACTACCTATCTTCTACTAAAACTTAGTTAGTGCCTGGAAAAAGAAACACTAATTAATTATTAGTGCTAATTTAAACCCAATATGGTGGCATAACTGGATTAAACCCTTCAACATTATTAACGTTGAAAACATAACTGCATTCAGCCATATTATTATTCTGATGGTTACTTGTAGTAATTCCTCTTGTCTTGTTTGAACTTGGCATTGATGTGCTTTCCACTGTCTCTTCACCTGATATTTCAGTGTATACTGTGGAATTCACTTGTTTTTTTGTGGCTTGTTCCTTCAATATTGCTCTTAATGCCAACACCTATAGAAAAACAAGAGTTTACTATCAAATCAATAATAACAACAACAAATAATAACATACCTAGTGTGATCAGACAAATGGAGTCTAGACAGGGTGGGGTATATGCAGACCTTACCGGCCCCTACCTCATGTGAGATAGAAAAACTGTTTCCGATAGACCTTCGGCTCAAATGTTACACTATCAGGTCATCTAAAAAGATAATTATGACTATCCGGATTAATAAGTCATAAAAATAAGACAAATTATCTGCTATAACATATTACAAATCTTTATATTATTAGTGTGTATAAATTAGTGGGGGAAAAAGACATATGGAAAAAATTCTAGTTGCATGAAAGAGGATAATTAAATTCAAAAGAAAACTCAAAAAGAAAAGGAAAGGAAAGGAAAAAAAAGGGACAATGTTGTATGAAACGTCAATTTCAATTTTATTACAAGTTATAAGGTGACTCAATTTTTTTTTTAAATTTATTTATTTGCATTCAATTAAGCCGACCTTGCTTTATAATGATGGGGACAACTGAAGTTAAAGTTGTCTCCATAGTTATGGCTCCAAATAATGCGAGCCTAACGAACAATGACGCCATATTACTCTAAAATAGTTGTTTTTTCTCAAAATAGCAACTATTATTCTAAGTTTCATAAAAATAGGTTATTTTCTTAAAAAGACAAGGATTCGTTGAGGACTATCTTATCATTAGACATAGGTATCCTAAAACCCCAATCATTTTTTTTTTTTTTTACTATTTCTTTCTAGCTTTAAATTTGGGAACAATCTTACTGTCAAAACACTAAGTAGCTGCTCAATCAATCGCTTAAATTATATATAATTGACAAATATATAATATATGTATGATCTATGTATAATATATATATATATAAACATGTATGATAAGTGTATAGACATATCAGCTAAGAAAAATAAACAGTAGATTTAATCGGTAAATTATGTAAAGTTTGAATATTTTAAGCCACCGTTGTTTTCCATTACCATCTTCTGTTTTCCCATTAGCAGAGGAAAGTTAATTTAGGTGACTACATAAACTAGATATTGATTTGAAAAAACATTAACATCACGAAGAAACACCAAAGTATAGGTTTAGGGTGAATCACATAGGAAAATAATTTTCAAAGAATGAGATATAAGAAGTATTGAAGACATAATTAAGTACTTAATTAATATATGTTCTCTTTCCCAACTTAATCTTTCAGATGAGATAATCGTCCGTTCATCATAGTAAAAAAGTAGAAATTCTGAGTTCTAATCTCACTGTCACCCCATTATCAAAAAGAATTGGGGTATATCACTTTTATCCCGCGATAGAAACTATTTATATTTGGTAGCCAAAATAATGTATAAAATTTGTACAGTATAATTTTTATATATAACATATAGAATATATATAGATATATATATATATACACACACAAAAGAAAAAAAATATATATAAAAAATATATATTTTCGACTATTATTTTGAAAGCGGTTATACAGTGTCATTTTCTCAAAAGAATCTTTATGTACTTGGTTCAAAGAAAAAGAGTCACGCTCCCCCCACAAGAGAACACGTACTTAATTTGTTCTTCATACTTTTAGATAAAACGGTCGCACAATTCATCAGATAGCATAAAAATATACAAAAGTTTTAAGTTTTGCATGAAGTGCATGGATGCAAGAAAGTGAAGAGAGAATTTCTCAAAACTGACCTCATTTTGAAGCTTCTGTTTTTCCCTAGAAACTAAATCATAGTCTTGTTTAAGAGAATCATAGAGTCGTTCGAGCTGCTTAGACTTCCATCTAGCTCTCCTATTTTGAAACCAAACAGCAATTTGACGAGGTTGCAACCCAAGTTCTTTAGCTAGTTTCATTTTCCTATCAGGATCAAGTTTTATCTCTTCTTGAAAACTGTTTTCAAGTGACTCTAATTGATCACTTGTCAATCTTTTCTTCTTATCCAACTGATTCATGGCAAAGTTGTTGTTCAGTTTGTCCATTGTTGGGAGCACTCCACCTTGTTGTGTTTGCATTGCATGCTTCATTTCCATACCTTTAAAAAAACAAAAAAAAAAAAATAAAATACCAAAGATTATATTAGCATGTAAAGATATGCAACAACAACATACCGAGTGTATTTCTACAAGTGGGTTTCGGGGAGCAGAGACGGACCTACGTTGTAAAGAGAGGGGGTCACCGCCGCCACCCGGAAAGTTTCGACAAAATTTTTCATGTATACAAGTATATATGTCTTTTCAAAAATAATACTAATATATTAGTTGTCATACCCTATATACAAGCAAATTTTAGTTGAATGCAAAAGTGCACCCGTAACCTTCAAATCCTGGGTTTGCTGGAGAGTTTAGTATGTATCCAGACCTTACCTCTGCCTTGTGACGGTAGAGAAACGGTTTCCGATAGACCCTCGCTCAAGAAAGCATATAAACAAATGGTTGTGAGAAATGGGCAGTGTTCAGGCTGACAAAGTTTGTAACTAACACTTGGTTTTTACTTTCTTTAGGAAAATGAGAAAAATCAGCAATTATTAAAATGGAAAACGAAAACTTCATAATTCTGCCATTTTGAACTTAGTGTAAACTCAATTTTTTTTAAATTTTTTTTAGCTCACTCATCTATTCTTGGAATATAGTACTTCTTAATTATAGAGGAACTAGGCCAAAAACAAAATCCCTTAAAAGACCACAATAAAATGGCAATTATCTATACTAAGATAACATGCTTCAAGATCAAATCATGAAAAGAAAACCTATATATTAAGAAATGGGACTGAAAAATGATTAGAATAAATGTGAAAATAATGTGAAACGCGCGCAATAAACATATATAAATGAAGACTAACATGATAGCTTCTGAGAATAACAACAACAACAAACTCCATAAAATCCCATAGGTGGAGTCTGAGGAGGGTTATGTGTATGCAGACCTTATCTCTACCCGATGAAGATAGATAGACTATTTCCGGTAGACCCTAGGCATAAGAAAAACGAAAAAAGACGAGAAAAATAAATTACAAGACATTTTTTTCTTATATCTTTACCTGGATATTGATCATAATTGTAGCTGTAGAGGAGATTGAAAGAATTATCAGGAGGAGCAGGTCGAGAAACAAAGGGTCTAAGATTTCCATTCCAGTCCATATTTTTTTTTTTCCTTCTAAACAAGGCAAAGATCCAAGAAAACACCCAAATTTTAACCCCTTAATATATTGACACTAATCTTTCTCTTTATCTAGTATTGGACCAGTACTACTCGATCAAGACTATGGACCACCTTAAAAAAAAGGGTTAATTAGGGTTTTGTCCTTTTGAAAAAGTATGAAAACTTTCTTGGTTTGTTTTGTAGAAACAAAAGTGAAAAATGAGAAGAAGATGTTGTAGGGAGAGTTTACTACATTTGTGGATAGAAGTAGTCAGTGCTTAGCATTGTGTCAATATGTGAAAGAGATGGATTGGGAGAGTAAGAATTAGTTGTTGTGTTTTATGCTTCACTTTTTGGGAGCAACTCATAAATAGGACTTCCTCTTTAGGTTTGGATGTTTTTGGGAGGTGGGGGTGGGGGTGGGGTAGATGGTACTAGTGTGCACTAATTAATTGTGGTTTTTATTAGTGTTAAATTTCAACAAGGACACTCCAATGATATATTTAAAGAACCATATGTAAAATATGTGTTCATAATTAACTATAGGTGTAATTTGAGATCACTTAATCCTTATGTAGTACTAATGAAGTTCACTTCACTTCATTTAGTGAAGTGGTAAAAGAAGTTTTTTATTTATTTACTCCATTCTATCTCTTTTACTTGTCATGTTTGATTTTTGCATGCGAGTTAAACAAGTTAATTAAAATGTATATTAATCTATCTTAATTTTTATCAGAGAAAAGGTAAAGATGCAAAAAATTAATTAGTTTTTTTTAAAATTTATAAATAACAAGTATTTCGGATCAATTATTTTTTGTAACCATAACAACTAGAAAGAATATAAAGAGTATTGTTATACATTGAGGGTAATAGAAGAAAAAATGAGGAGAAAATTATAAGGTGGAAAATAGAACCGACACCAACAAGGTAAGAATTTAGGTAGTCAACCAACCGGATTGCTCAGATTTTCAAGTGGTAAAAGAAGCGGGATTTAAATTGTACATTAACAACGTAAATAAATTTATACTATTAATGTTATATAATCTGTTATACCATATTGTTTGCCTAGATTAATGTATAATCTATTAATTATAGGCAATTATGTCAAGGGCGGAGCTAGATGCTTCGACCGAACGCATTAACTTTATTGTAAATATTATATTTGTCTTAAAAGATTCATTGAATATGTATAAATTCTTACTTTAGAACTCAGTAACATAAAAATACTAGAATTCCGAACTCAATAACTTCAAATCCTGGTTCCGCCTCTAAAATTATAATGTGTAGTTACTCTTAATGATTCAATTGTATAAAATTCTTTTATATTGTCTCTGTATAGAAGTTAAGATAATCAAAGAAATTTTGTTTTCACTTCTCTAATTATTCACCTTAAGTAAAATTTAAACATGGATGATTAATTATATGTTAATTAGGAGTGTAAGAAAATTATGATTTTTATCAAAGGTCACAATCTAAGAGAAGAGTATGGTCCCCTAAAGGCCAAAAAATCAGACAAGCTGCCTTGAGCTACTCTCACGCCTCTCTTCTCATTTTCTGACAAATTAACTACTTTCTTCCCCCTAGTACTACTACTACTTCTTAGTACGCAGTACTTAGTTTCTTCTACAGCCTTTAATTTGAGTCTCTCTCTATTTATTACTATCTAAGATCAAGATGTAACTCTAGAAAAAATCATAAGAAACGACAATATGTCGGTAAATTCATGTCGTCGAAAAATTATACTGTGCTAATCAAATAGAAATGATCCTTTTTCTGATTATATACTCCCTTCATTTTAATTTATGTTACAGGATTTGACTGAGTATGTTGTTTAACAAAAATAAAAAGAATTGAAATTTGTGATCTAGCTAAAACAAGTCATAAATATTTGTGAGATTATATATCATCTCATTAAGAGTAAAATGACAATCTTTTTTATGCAGACTAAAAACCAAAGCATGCTAAAAATTTTGTAATGGAGGGAGTATTATAAAATGTTGAATTCCCTTTAACATGAGAGTATATTTTAGTGTAGTGCAAAGGAATTTTGAAAAAAATACTTTTGATCACACGTTCAAATTAATCCTATAGTGACATGCATTTAGTATTACGATTTTTTAAATCCTTCTAATGAATTTCTGACTTGACCGCAGAGGCGGATCCAGAATTTCAAGATGATGGATGCACTAGTTAATCTAGAATTTACATTTAACTAGCTTAACTTTAGTCTGTTACCATGAACCCACTACAAATTTTGAAATTGTAGGTTTAAAATTATACTTTTTTTGAAATTATATTGATTTTCACATACATATCTATACTCCGTGACGAAAATAAGACCGTCCGAATTGAAGTAGGATTTGAACCAACAATTTCACTTGTAGAGCTACACCTAATAATTATTGCACCATATGAGTCTTTAAGAATAAGTGCACGCATATATATTTAAGTAATTTAAAGAAATATAACATTGCGATACACATGATTTAAGGAGAGGAACATGAGTTCACGTGAACCTATACCCCTTAACCTAGATATGTCCTTGCGGCCTCTGCAATATAATGTGCCATGCCTTAGCAAAGAAGATGACAAATTAACTATGTTGCGCGAACTATCCAAAATGGCTGCCACACTCGTGCCGAATCTTCCAAATATTCACTACTTTTGGAGGATTCGACACGTACCCACTGACATTTTTAGAGAGGGTGAGCAGCATAGCAAATATATAAAGAACGAGGTAGTAGTGGGCTAATGACGAGTAATGAATCAAGCTGCTGCTGCTGCAACTGCTGCTTAATGACCTATGGGTAGTTCTCTTATAATAAATGGACTTACAGTACAAATTGGGTTTATAGAATCAGAGCAGCATTAGTAAAAGAACCCCTGAATTAGGTCCATTTGAAACTTCTTTTTCACTTTACACACACACACAAAAGCACACAGAGAGAAACAGTCTTTTTTCTTTGGTTAAAATCAGTGGACCTGCATATTAACTCATTCAGTATTCAATGTAATATATGCCAGAGAAGAGGAAGAAGAAATTAAATTAAAGGGGTTAGCATCCCTAAAAACGTGAGGATCAGACTTTGACAGGCATACAACCTTGACATGTACGGCATAAACCTTCTTAATTACAGAGTTTTTAACTTCTATATACTAACATCATAAATAAGTTTTTACAGTATCGTATCACCTAAAAAATAAATAAAAGTTTAACAGTTTGTTTGGATTGTTGTTACATGTCGTTTCATAATGTATCGTTTTGTATTATATTGCATTGTTGTGATGACCCAAAAGGTCATCACTTGTTTTACAAGTCGATTTTGTGATCCGAGGCCTTAAAAACCTCTTTTTGTCTCACCTCGATTTGCGTGCACAGTTCGGACGTGTATCCGAAAAGCCATTATGTAAAAAACTGTGAAAAAGAATAAATTTTGCTTTTAAAAATGAATTTAAGTTGACTTTGGTAAATATTCTTGGTAAACGGACCCGTGATCCGACGGTCTCGTAGGGTCCGTAGAAAAATTTGGGACCTGGACATTTGCCCGGAATCGAATTCCGAGATCTCAAGCCCGAGAAATGAATTTTTAAAGAAAATTATTTTCTAGAATATATAAGAGTATTTTTTTTAAATGAAAAATGTTTGAAATTGATGGTATCGAGACCATATTTTGGTTCCGAAGCCCGGTACAAGTTTGAAATAATAATTAAGTTAAATTTGAAAAATTTGGTAAAGATCGAAATTGGTTTGTGTCACGACCCGAATTTCCCACGCTCGGGAGTCGTGATGCCGTCTACTAATGTGAGCTAGGCAAGCCAATTATTGAACAAATTACCTTTATCCATTTTATACCCTTTTAACATTTATAAAGCAATAATGTGAAAAACATCGGATATTTAGAATAAGCGAAAGAAATGTAATAAAATATCTGAAATATGAATCTAATACAACTCTTTAAGCCTTAATCACCCAGAACTGGTGTCACAGTACCACAGGCGATCTAAGAATGCTAAACACAAAGTCTGAAAATAAAGATACACGGTTTCCGAATCAAAGAAGTGAAACAGGAAATAAAGGATAGATATGAGGTGGCCAAAGCCCGCAGACGCCTGCAGGACTACCTCAGGTCGCCTGTTGGACTGAAGGCAGCAACCTCACTGCGGTCCGAATTCTACGACACTGGGATCTGCACAAAATAGTGCAGAGTGTGGTATCAGCACAACCGACCCCATGTGCTGATAAGTGTCTAGCCTAACCTCGGCGAAATAGTGACGAGGCTAGGACCAGACTACTAAATAAACCTGTGCAGTTAAGTCATTTACAACGGAAATAGAAGCAGATAATTGCAATTAAAATTGGGCAAGGGAAACATGAATTGGGAGAATAACAGATAACAACAGAATATCAAGAGAATATAAAGGAACCAAAAGTCCAATTACTAACACGGATAGGGAAAAGAAATGCAGAGTTCACTTTCATTTCACATCTCGTTGCAGGCGTGCAACCCGATCCCATTTCATGTATCTCATTGCAGTGTGCAATCCGATCCCATTTCATATATCTCGTTGCAGGCGTGCAACCCGATCCCATTTCATGTATCTCATTGCAGTGTGCAATCCGATCCCATTTCATATATCTCGTTGCAGGCGTGCAACCGGCTCCTATTTACATATCTCGTTGCAGGCGTGCAACCCACTCCCATTTCACATATCTCGTTGCAGGCGTGCAACCTGCTCTCATTTCACATATCTCGTTGCAGGCGTGCAACCTGCTCCCATTTCACATATCTTATGCAGGCGTGCAACCCGCTCCCATTTCTTTTATCAATACCAATCACAAAAGGATCCCGACAAGGGAACAATAATATCAAAACAAACATCCCGACAAGGAAATAATAATGACAATAACATCTCATCAATGGAACAATAATGATAATAGCATGTGAAGCGCAATAAACGTCGATGGAGTCATAACAATACAATACAAGACCCATGGGCATGCTTGACACCAACGTATAGATACTCATCACCATGCCTATACGTCGTACTCCACAATTAATACGTAGCAAATAAGACACAACTCCTAATCCCTCAAGCTAAGGTTAGACCAAACACTTACCTTGGTGCCACGAACACAATTCACGTCTCAACTATCGCTTTACCTCTTGATTCCACCACCAATTCGCTCATATCTAGCCACAAGTTACTTAATTACATCAATAAACGCTAAATGAATCGACTCCGATGCATGAAAATAAGTTTTTCAAAATTTTACCCAAAAAGTAA